TGAAAGGGTGTCTCTGTCCCTGCTATTCTGGAAATCATTGTTGGTACTACTCAACTACACCGGAGGTTCCCTTTAATTTTGGGTGACCTGAGAAAACCCTAACTTCAACGTCAAACCTCCCTGGCAGTAACTGTGATAGCACAAGTCAACAGTCCTGTGATGTACAGAGTTTGCTCTCATGTGATGTCCTCTCTGCTCTTTGCTTTCTTGAAATTGCTAAATAAAGCAAGTTTATAACATAGTGACTTCTTCCATGTGTATTTTCTTATTTTTTATTTGTAAATTTTTTATTTCAATTAGAAACAAGATTGTTTTACATGTCATTTTCCGGTCCCTCTCCCATGCCTCCTCCCCTGGCCCCACTAACACCCTACCTATCCAATACCATTTCTGCTCCCAGGGAGAGTGAGGCCTTCCATGGGTTGTCTTCAGAGTCTGTCATATCTTTGGGATAGGGCCTAGGCCCTCCCGTGTGTCTAGGCTGAGGGATTATCCCTCTATGTGAAATGGGCTCCCAAAGTCCATTCCTACGCTAGGGATACATATATATATTTCCGAGGCCTCTGCACTGACACCACACACATGGGGTCTGGATCATTTCCATGCTGTTTCCCAGTGATCAATCTGGGGACCAAGAGCTCCCTCTAGTTCAGGTCAGCTGTTTCTGTTCCACACGTATTTTTGTGGCAAATTGTTTTATATATAAGCCCTGCAACCTTGCTAGATAGGGCATTCAAATCCTTATTTCTACCCTACCAATTCCTCCACTATCCCTTTCTCTATTTCCCTTCTGGCTTTATGCCTTAGCTCTTGCTTTTTCCCCAGTGGATTCACCTAGTGTTCCCTGTGGGTGCATGGTATAAGACAATCAAACGGAGCATGGCCCCTTTCATGGGCCCCTATCCTGAAGGTAGTTTACTCTCTTTACCCTAGTAGTCATCAACATCCAAAAGCTTCTCCAAAAGATGAGGCTTTGTGACCTTGTCCATAATCCATGCTGGGGTTTTTACTGCCTCCATCTTGTGCATGTCTTGTGCACTTAGTCACAGCCTCTGTGAGGTTATGTGAACAATAGTCTTCTCATGTCCAGCATGCTCCTTCCTGCTAATGTTCACTACCCATGGCTCTTAGAATCTTCCCTCCCTGTTCTGCAATGATCTTTGAGCCCTACATGTAGAGGAGGTGTGACGCAGCTGTCCTTTCAGAGCTGAACATTTCACAGTCTCTTATTCTCTGCATGACGACCAGTTCTGGGTGTCTGTGGTAGGCACCATATAGTGTAAAAAGAAGCTTTTCTGATTCAGTTTGTGATATGCACTAATCTATGGGTATAAATATATGGACTTAATAGACTGCTTTTTATTGTGTTCATTTAACAGAATAATTTATAATAGTTTCTTGCCTGTGACCTCAGATCAAGGAAGTCACCTGATTTGAGTCCATTTGCATACCAGGAGTAAGTTCTCCCTTGTGGCATGGCTCTAAGTTGCAATCATAAAGTGGATGGTTATTCCTACAACATGAGGACACTATTGTCCTAGTCTGCCAGTTCAATCGTCACTGTGATGAGGAATGTACTACTGTGTATGTTTATCTTATTGATTGTTAAATAAAATACTGTTTGGCCAATGAGATAGCAAGTTAGACGGAACTAGGAGTCAAAGAGGATTCTGGGAAATGTAGTAGAGAAGTGCTGATCCAGGCAGGAAGTGACATAGCAAGGAGACTCATATTTAAGCGAAGGAGAAACAGGAAGGGTCCCTTTTTCCCCTTCCTCCTACAGCGGCAGGATATGATCCACCGACAAGGAGGGACACAAACAAGGCATCGATAAGAGAAGTCTTATAACATATATAGATTTATGATAGTTAAGACTGAGCTAACAGATGAGGAATCCTAGTCGTTGGCCAAGCAGCTTTAAACCTAATACAAGTTTCTGTGTATTCATTTGGGCCTAACTCAGGTGGGCGGCTGGCGTAAAGCTCACATGTGGCGATGGGGCTCAGGCAGCTTTGGCAGAAAGATTTATCGTAACATCACTGTAGCTCACAGAGTTGACAGCTGGGTAAGAGGATGGAATACTTTTTCCCCTATTAGAGCCAATAGAAATTTCTACCACTATGAAGCTGTCCAGTGGAGACAAAATTTCCAGGTCCAAGCAAGCATAATTTCTCAATGTTATAGGATTCTGTGTGGTTATCTCCATATTGTCTAACCACCAAGTTCTGAAGGTTAGAGTAATGTCAACATATTATAATGTTTCAGAGATTCCACAGCCCACCAACTTGAAAAACTGTAACCTATACCTTGCACTAGCATTTCTATTTGATAGCCTATGGAGCCCCAGGACGCATTGTCCCTCGGTTAGAGGACACACCATTTGAACGCCTATTGAATGTGTATATGAATGCATTTTAGGTGGATTTCAAAATAGAAAGCTTCATTGTAGCATTTTCAAAGGCCTTTACTGTTGGTTGTCTCTTCCTATATCCTCTCTTGTTTCCTGCCCTCAAATCCCCTGCCCCATTTAACCCTTCCGGTTCCACTGTTCTCCTTTCCCCATCTGTACCACCTGCATTCTGTCTCCCCTTTGCTTGAATTCCTTCCACAACTCCTCTCTACCTTCCTGGATTCTATGGGTACTCTAGTTTCAATATACACATCTAAAGATTCATCTGTGGTATCCACATAGGAGAGGGGACAGCTTGCATTTTTGATCTGGGTCTGGTTACCTCCTGCAAAAGGATCACTACAAAGACCTCAGTGTCAAAAAGTATTATTTAGATTAAACTTGCCAAATTCTAGAAATCACAAAACACCAACTTTCACACAAGGATACCTGCAACCCTATTAAACACACAGAATCACTAAGACATATGCTTCCCAAGGCCAGGTGCAAAGGCAGCTTGAAACTTCTCCTGTGTGAGAGGAGTCAGGGTCAAAGGACAGGCTCTATCCTCAGGGATAAAAAGAGGAAAAGCATTGGGTCTCACAAGAGAGATGACAGGGCACTGGCAAGTGTGGCTAAGACAGACTGCTCTGAGAAAAGCAGAAAATAGCGCAGGGATCCACGCTGCTCCCCAGGCAGAAGGAGCCAAACTCACAAGCACAAGGGAAGCCACTTGGCCCTGGAAAAACTGACTGGCAGATTTCACTGCAGAAAAGCCCATGGTTCTCACAAGCCTTAACACATCAAGGGATCCATTGTGAGAGTCACTCCTCTGCATGCTGAGCTGGCTTTGAAGAAATCCATTTTGCCACTTGTACCGGCTGGTTTTGTGTGTCAACTTGACACAAGCTAGAGTCATAAGAGAAGAAGGAGCCTGAGTTGAGGAAATGCCTCTAGCACATCCATATGTAAGGCATTTTCTTAATTAGTGATTGATGGTGAGAGCCCAGCCCATGGTGGGTGGTGCCATCCCTGGGCTGAT